AATATTGTTATTGACTTCAATTCTTGTCTTCCTTTTTTGTGTATTTCTGCTTTATTAGTATTCAATAGATAGTTTTTTTCATCATATAATAGTATATATTTTATTTAGTTAATTTAGTTAATTATTCTTTATGTAGATTTTAAAGAGCTCCATTATTTTATTCTTTGAATATGTACTTAAAGAATAGTTATTTAAGTATATTAGTAGGATGGATTGTATGAAGGATTTGCCTGTTGATGTGTTGAGTCAAAAATTGGAGAACATGAATATGTGAAAATAAAGCACCGTGAAGCATTGAAGAGAATACAAAATATATAATATCAAGACTTGGTCCGAAAATGGACAGAAAGATAAGACAAAGCAACACAATGTATATAATTGAGTATTGTATTATGAGAGAGGGAGTGCAGGGGGTGCCATTGAGTTTGAAAAGTATAGGACACATCATAACAGAAGAAGCAGAATAGTTACTATCTTTGATTTATGAAGAAGTAAAATAAGATATTTCAAATTTTAGAGTTAAATTTGATATTGAAGTCCAAATAGTAGCAAAACTACCAGACAAAGGATATGGAGACAATGAATTTAGTTATAGAGAAGTTTACTTCATGAATGACTTTGACGAATATGTAGGTGAAGATAATATAGACGATGTATTGAATAAAGCAGATGAAGAAATAAATGCCAACATAGAAGAAGACAAAGATAAAGATAGTATATTAGGAATACAAGCATTTCATTTTAGATAATAATTGTTGGAGATATTTACTACTAACATATTTCTATTAAAATCTATTTATTAGAATTATGGATTTGTAAGATCGGATTATTAAAGGTTAAGGGTTTATCTCTATTGTTGTCTGCCGTTTTGTGTTATATATTGTTCTTTGCTTGGTTTGTTTTTGTTTTTTGTTGTTATAGCAATTCTTGGAAAAGACATTTAAGAAGATAATCATATTTCTATGTATTGGATCAAATTTGTAGATACTGTGTTACAGACTCACCAATTGATCATTTTGAAGATGGATTGAAGACTTGTAAGAAATGCTTGGAATACAAGAGAAAGAACTATGACAACCATAAAGATAACGTGAATGAAACACGAAGAACTAAATATAAAGAACATGAAGAATATAGAAAAGAGAAACAGGAACAACTACAAAACTTTCGTGATAAAGATGCCTTTTGTAATTGTAATTCATCAATGAAGGCGCACTGTTATTCAAGACATTTAAAAACAGAGAAGCATAAAAGGAATTTAGGAACGGTTGATGGATATGATTTTGTAAAATGAATAAGGTAATAATGCTTTTGACTGCTATGGTTTTCACGAAAGCTAGCTGTAGCTAGCTGGAGTCTGTCTTGCTTTAGCAAGGAGGGTGGGAGCTGAGGACCTGAGTGCTATTACCTGATATATCAGGACTACCCCCCCCCCTCGCGCAGTTCAACTCCACCCTTCTCCTCCTCGGTACCTGCTGTTGCTTGGTCGCTGGGTCGCTGCTGCTGCTGGCATCTAATTTGCGCCTGGCTCTTGGCTGCTTGCTGGTTGCTGCTGCTTGCTGCTTACATGCTTGGTGCTGCTGGATGCTCTTGGCTGCTTGCTGGTTGCTGCTGCTTGCTGCTTGCATGCTTGCTGCTGCTGGATGCTGGCTGCCTGCTGCTTGTTGTCTGCTCGGTTTTGCTGCTGTCGCTGTTTGGGGTTGTTGGCTGCTGTTGGTGCTGAAGAAAGCCTATTCATTAGAATCGAGAGTAGTTGCATTCCCTCTGAGTCGTGAAACGATGCTAATTTCATTATATCCTTAAGAAGCTTGTACAGGCATGTACCCACCCCACAACCCCCAAGAGTACAAATCAGAATGCACTATCCGCTATCCATGCAGATCAAAAGATGATACTGATACTTACTACACACATGAATGACAGAACCCAGTAAGATGTTTGAACGGGCTGTTTGCTTCACTCATGGTAGTCCGCGTTCCATGTTCGAGCGACAGGGAGCATGCACAAGCGTTGCGACGGAGTCTTCGTTCGCTGACGCATGTTCGCGTGCAACCCCTAGATGTCAATCATGCACACCGCTGCTGGCTGCATCGTCAGCATTTATTCGTGGAACAAACAGATATATCAGATATATATGTCTTTCCGCGTCGCCCTTCTACAATTACTCAGGCAGCACCTATATGTGCTATTGTTCGAGACCAAATGTTGGGGCCCGAAAGACTCTAAGGAAAGCTCACTCTTTCCCTGCTGCTGCTGCTGCTGCTGCTTGGTAGCTGGTGGTGCTGCTTGGTAGCTGCTGCTGCTGCTGCTGCTGCTTGGTAGCTGCTACTGATGCTGCTGCTGCTTGGTAGCTGCTGCTGCTGCTGCTGCTGCTTGGTAGCTGATGCTGCTGTTGCTTGGTAGCAGCCAGCGTCCAGCAGCAGCAAGCGCGCAAGCAGCAAGCAGCAGCAACCAGCAAGCAGCCAAGAGCATCCAGCAGCACCAAGCATGCAAGCAGCAAGCAGCAGCAACCAGCAAGCAGCCAAGAGCCAGGCGCAGATGAGATGCCAGCAGCAGCAGCAGCAGCAGGCACCGAGGAGGAGAAGGGTGGAGTTGAACCCCGCGTGGGGGGGGGTCTAGTCCTGATATATCAAGTAACAGCACTCAGGTCCTGGGCTCCCACCCTCCTTGCTAAAGCAAGACAGACTCCAGCTAGCTACAGCTAGCTTTCGTGACATGGCAACACACAACCACCCCAGCAACCGCAGCAGCAGCAGCAGCATCAGCAACAGCCACAACAACAATAACTCTAACCAGCAGCGGCAGCGGCAGCAAGCAGAAGCCACCAAGCAGCAGCAGAAGCAGCAGCAGTAGCTAGCAAGCAGCAGCGCCAGCTACCAAGCAGCAGCAGCAGCAGCAGGAGCAGCTACCAAGCAGCAGCAGCAGCAGCTACCAAGCAGCAGCAGCAGCAGAAGCTGCTAAGCAGCAGCAGCTACCAAGCAGCAGCAGAAACAGCTACCAAGCAACAGCAGCAGCAGCTACCAAGCAGCAGCAGCAACAGCAGCAGCAGCCGCCTGCTGCTTGTTGTCTGCTCCGTTTTGCTGCTGTTGCTGTTTGGGGTTGTTGGCTGCTGTTGGCGCTCAAGAAAGCCTATTCGTTGGAATGCAGAGTAGTTGCATTCCCTCTGAGTCGTGAAACGATGCTAATTTCATTATATCCTTAAGAAGCTTGTACAGGCATGTACCCACCCCACAACCCCCAAGAGTACAAATCAGAATGCACTATCCGCTATCCATGCAGATCAAAAGATGATACTGATACTTACTACACACATGAATGACAGAACCCCTGCTGCTGCTGCTGCTGCTTGGTAGCTGATGCTGCTGTTCTGCTGCTGCTGCTGCTGTTGCTTGGTAGCTGCTGCTGCTGTTGCTTGGTAGCTGTTGCTGCTGCTGCTGCTGCTTAGCAGCTGCAGCTGCTGCTGCTGCTTGGTAGCTGCTGCTGCTGCTGCTGCTGCTTGGTAGCTGCTCCTGCTGCTGCTGCTGCTGCTGCTTGGTAGCTGGTGCTGCTGCTTGCTAGCTACTCCTGCTGCTGCTTCTGCTCTGCTTGCAGCCGCTGCCGCTGCTGCGGTTGCTGGGGTGGTTGTGTGTTGCCATGTGTTGGCGGTGTTGGGGTCGTATTGGGGGGCGCTGTTGGCACTCTCCTTTTCCCTTGGCCATGGCATGTTGTGATTCCTGGCGAGGCTTTTGCTGCCTAAAGAGCCCCAGCATTGTTTCTTTGCCTAGCTTTTGCCACCCCCCTCTGGGCCACAAGTTAAACATGAATGAGGTAAGTATGCTTTGACTGCTATGGTTTTTGAAAAATTGAATGATGTAATTGTGTTTTGACTGCTATGATTTTGAAAATGAATGGGGTAAGTATGCTTTGACTGCTATGATTTTGAAAAATTGAATGAGGTAATTATGTTTTGATATTGTTGAGAAAAAGCAGCAATCAACAATATTTAACTGACTTTTTGGACTGTTATGTTGTTTTGAATAGGTTTTGATTTGTTATACTGCCATGATATTAGTTTAGACAACTTCACTCAATCAACTTGTTTTACATTTTTTGGGGAGGGTGGTCGCGAGGCGGCCAATTTCGGAGAAGTGAACCCAGAGCCCGGTGGGGGAGAGTGAAAGAACTTGCCACTTGGTAGTGAAAATGAGTAGTTTTGGGGGGTGTTGTGATGCCGGTGATGTAATTGACGGCCAGGTAGTGCATCATTAGCATCACGAGGGGCCCAGGAGGCAATGTAAACCGTTTTCTACCAGGGGTGGGAGTTCATGTCAATGGTAGGAAAGAGGGGACAACGGGACGCGAAAAGTGGTTGGAACTCTTCCAGAAAAGGGAGATGCACGCCTTTCATGGCTAGTGAAATAGTGTGAAGGGGAGGTGTGTGTCTCTCAAGACATTGTGTGATCTGTGAGGAGCCAGAATGCTGTGGGGAAGGTGGAAGACAGGCATAGCGTAGGAGGACGTGGCAAGAAAAGAGTGTTTGCAAGAAATGTTAGAGATGCTGGGGGTGCCCTTTTTAATGGCAAAGACGCCTGTCAACTATACGCAAAAGGGCACCCCATATGGGGCGCGAGTTCATGTGGACGAGACAGCCTTGGTGGAGGAGGACGTGATAGGAAAAGAGGGATTGCAAGAAACGGTGTGACCCATTCATTGAGAGCAGGGAGGGAACAGAATGCAGCGGGCAAACTTTGAGTTGCTTGGGGGTGCCCTTTTTTATGGTGAAGAGGACTGTTGACCAGACTGGGCACAGAGGCGGGGAGCTCACCAGGGCTCTCGCATTCACCCCCATATCCATAATGATATGTTTTACGGTGGCTGGCTTTCGTCCACTCCCTTTTCCAGGTATGTAGAATTGCTATTTGTTGGTTTTTTGCACAATGGTTTTCCAGTTTTTTCTTCGATTCTCTCAGGGCAGAATACAACCACCCTGCGCCAGCGGCTTCAGCTCTGCTCGTGGTCAGGTCTTCGCATCGCGGCCAGATGCCCTTCCGGAGGCGTACCAGAAGGAGTCCAGAGCGAAGACTTCGTTTGTTGGCCACGAGTCTGGTATATTATAGCAAAACGTTGGAAGAACATCTCAGCAAGGCAGCGCCCAAGGGTCCTTAAGTATCCTGCTCATTTCACATCATAGAAACCATTTCACGAAAGGTAGCCCCTAAGGGGATACCTTGAGTTTGTGTTGCGAAGCAAGTGTCGGCGCGTCCGGGTCTAATAATTGATAGTTCAATTCAACCCCCCCCCTTTGAATTGATTTCTCAATACAGGCCCCCCCCCCGGGGAATTGATTTTTCAATACCGACCCCCCCCTCTAAATTCAATTCTCTCCTGGAGAACGTCTTCGTGAGCCTCTCATGATTTCAGGATAGTTGAAACCCTCTTGAACATTCAGAGTGCATATGAAATTCTAATCACGAAAGGTGTTCCGCGAGCGGATACATACCTAGAGTTTGTTTTGTGAAGCACGTCAATTCTCTCCTGAGGAACGTCTTCGTGAGCCTCTTATGGTTTCAGGATAGTTCAAATCCTATGATGCTCCGATTCAATGCTCACCGATGATCTGAGCCATGGGGCAAGTTTGTTTACCTAAGAATCTTTTTGAACATTTCGAGAGCATATGTTTGAACATTTAGAGTGCATATGAAATTATATTTACGAAAGGTCGCCTCCGAGGGGATAAATACCTAGAGTTTGTTTTGTGAAGCAAGTGTGGGTGCTTCCGGGTCGGAGTGATTTCTCCCTAGAGCTTTGGAAGTCATTGTTCCATCTGGCTGCAAGCTGGCATCGCTGCCTCAGAGTTTTTGTTCCTGCCTCTCGCGTTCTCTGAGCTTCCCGCTGTCCTACCTTTCGTGTCTCCCTCCTCTCAAGTGCAAACACATGCAAAAACCACTTTCCCGGGGAACCCCAAGCTTCCCATCCCCCGAGGACATGACTATTCCCCGATGTCAACAGCTCACTTCGACCCTTGAGGAGTTTGAAGGTTTGCTAGAACGAGTGCGACCTTTCAACAAAGATGAGGCTCGTTCTCTGAAGGAAAGGGCACAAAATGCAGTGAGCTGCCGAACGCGCTCAGCACGGTTGAACTTCTCCGGAATTCCTCCTTGGGAAAGGCACACCTGGCATTGCAGACTATCTATCTGAATCTATTTGACTGTTCTGATTCAGCCCCAAAAAGTTTTCCGTTCTGAAGATCTCCTCATCGCTCTGGCTTTTGAGGCGATGGAGACTTTGACCCGGAATTTGGGTGATGTGGAACGCCTCTTCGACGACATGGCCGCCTTCAACGAGCCGGTGCCCATGGGTTTTTTGAAACATCGCAGTCTTACGAAGCCAAAGGAAGAAATGAAAAGAGAAGCGAACTGAAGAACGGGAGAGGAAAATAACAAAAGGAACGATGGGAAAGGAAGTGTCATAAACACAACAACATCCGCTTCTTAGTTGAGCAGTTCACTCCAGAATGAGCAAAGCTATCGACGCTGTGTCATTTGGACCTTATCTTATCAATGTGACTAACTGGTCTCAAAGGATGTGGAGCTGGATGTTCTTTCGCCACATTCTCGACACGCTGAGCCAATCAGGAATTCATTGAGGAACTCCCAAGGCCATTCACTTGCATTTGCCACTACTAGGAGCAAGGACGCTACTAGGGGCTCCTGGCCTTACTACTA